GGAAAGGGGGCAGGGGGAGGGGGAGCCGCGGGAGGAGGGGGCCTGTGCCAAAGCCCTGCAGCAGGGCTGGGGAAGCTTTTTTGGGTGGGGGGGGCTGCCGACCCACAGAAAAATCCATGGTGGGCCGCACACAGGTGAGAAGCAAAGGGAGAAGCCCCTGACTGAGGAGGAGAAAGACAATCCCCACATTCCTCTCGCACCCCAGAGGGGGGCCCAGGCTAGTCGATTGTGTGTGCTCCAGCCCCATGGGAGGATGGCGAGGGGGGGTGGGTCTGGAGCACCAGTTCGGGCTCCCCAGGGCTGCAACCTTCCGGCCCTGGGCCTGAGATTCCCCACCCCTGCCCTATGGCTGGAGCAAGGTTGGGACAGAAGGGTGCTGTGATGCGGGCAAAGAGGACTCCCAGCTCGTCTCTCTCCATGCCCAGAGCGCCCGTTTCCCCAGCCCAGCGGCGTGGCCCGGGTGAAGCGAGAGGAAGAGCTCTGTGCGGAGGAGCAGGGGGCCGCGGAGGAGGTGGAACTGTTCGCAGAGCCCAGCTCCGGTGAGTTACAATCGGTCTCACAAAGTGCTGGGCAGCGTGAGGCAGAGGGGGGAGCCGGCGCCCGGCAGGGACTTCCCGGGGGACAGGGGGAAGAAGCGGGTGGAGCCGGAAGGGTCCTTGCAAGCTCGTGAGAGGCAAGTGGCCGTGACAGGAGAGAGGGGGACCAGGGTCCAGAGCCGTTCTGAGGACAAGGAAAGCAGGACCGATCCAGTACAGAATTCCCCCCTGCCCTCCTCCCCACTAGAAACATGGAAGCTCACACAGTGGAGTAATCCACCCCCAATAAAACCAATGCTGGCTCCTGCTCTCGCTGCTGGGCCAGAGCAGTGACCCCCTCGTGCGGGGGACAGAGAACAGCCGGGGAGGGCCTGGGATATGAAAGAAGATGAGGTCATTTGCTGGGAGGGACACTTCCTGGTCACACTGTGGGTCCCAGGGTCAGCTCCATGGTTCTGGCTGGGCCTGCCTACCAGGAGTGGGGCCCGTTGAGTCTGTCAGGCCTGCTTGGGGTCTTGTGAGCCCTACCCGTGCCCACTGCCTCCCTGCCATCGGCCCCCATCACCCTGCTGGAGCAGAGGGGCTGGCTCCCGCTCTGAGCAGGAGCCGGGTACCCATCCCTCAGGAGCAGCTGGGGTATCTCAAAGGCATGATGCTCTAGATTCCCAGCCTGTGCACCTGGCCAGGAAAGTTTTGCTCCTAAATCAGCCCTGGCAGGCCAGATCACTGTGGCTCTTCCCACAATGCCTCCCACCTCCTCCCTAATCCTGGCATTGGAGTGTGTAGAAATGGAAGCTGGAGTCCAGGTACCGTCCCACAACAGCGGGCTAGAGCCAGTGCCCTCTTTGCCCCGTCGGGAGGGGTGTCTCTGTGCAGCCTCCACAGCATTGGCTCTCTTCGCCCCCAGCCGTGCAGTGACAGCTCTTACCTAACTGAGACGCCATCCCCGCCCACGGGTTCCTCCCCCCGCTCTGTGTGCGTGGAGCCTGGTTCCTTCCCCAGGGACGCGCTCTTTGGTTTTTCCTGATTGAATTTCCTTGCGCTGTTTCTTCCCCACGTTATTTTCTCTTGATGCGCCCTCTCCCCTCCTTTATGTTTGCAACCCGGCCAGATCAGTGACCTTCGTCCATCTCGTTAGTACGCCATTTCCTCCTCCTTCCAGTCGTTCGATGTGAAACAAGCCTGTTCTCTGCTTGGCTCCCCAACTTGGGGAGCTGTGATTTTACCAGTACGCTGCCTACTGCCCTCTGGCTGGGTTTGGGTCCGGGTGATCGTGCTCGTGGCTAAGCCCACTGGAGTGAAATGCTCGGCGTGGTCTGGTCTCTCTGGGGCAGGAGGAGTGTGCCAGGGTTCTGGACAGAGCCTGAAGCCGGCTTGGAGAGGAGGAGGGACCAAAGAACTGTGGCAAATGTCCTGACGTTGAAACCTTCTGTGTGATCTTACCTGTCGTCACCGGATCCATGCTCACAAACAGAGGTCGGTCCTGCCTGAGGAGCGGGGCGCAGTCCGCACGCTCTGGTGCCGCCTCCTGAGAAGGGTGTTTGCGTGGCTACTCCCAAGGGAGCAAAGGGATCAGTGCCCACCCTGGTTCCTGGGAAAGACGGGAGCAGCTGAGCCATTTGGATACAAAGGCGCACAGGCTGCATGGGCAAAGGGCGCCCAGTGAAAGAGGCTGACATGTGGAGGTGGCCGTGGTGCGTGGAGAGCGCCTCCTGCTGGTGAGGTCTCCATGCCGACAAGGCCCCAAATCGAGGATTATAAGGAGGCTTGGCCCGGCTCCCTGCTGGGGTTGCGAGGATGGACAGAGGGACTCCTCTGGGGAGCACAGAGGACAGGGGCTTGTGTTTGAGAGCCAGCAGGAGAGGCACGGGCTGCGAGGACAAGCCGTGTGGGCCGACACGGCTGAGACCGCTTCATCATGAAGGCTACAGCTACCGAGTGTCCAGCCTTTTGTACTGACGGCTGCTCAGTCGCTGCTGGACAAGGCGAAGGTTAAATGCTTTGCTCTGTTGCTACGTCTCTCCATTTTGTAGAGAGTCTCTTGCGTGGATGCGCTTGTAACTCAGTTGATGCGGGGGCTCCAGCTGCTGCCTGCATGTCCCTGAGGCATGGAGAGAAATAGGTTGGATTCTCTGGCCCCAAGGCCATTACAAGAACTGTGGGCGGGCCGTGCCATGCAAGGCGCCACAGACCAAGCGCCCTCTGCCGTATACAGAAGCCAGGGACCATTGGCCGCAGGCAGGAGTGAGGGGGGGTCTGCGACCACTAGGACTGTGTTAAAGAGCTGGTTTAAAATCAGTATTCAGGGTATCCACAAAACCCAGTGATCGGCCTTCCCCAAGGCTGAAATTCACCCAGTGCAGAACATCTCTGTAGGGCTCCCCTCAGCTCTTACAGCGCAGTCCCGTTCCATGTATGTGTGGGATAAATCTTGTTCCATGCACCACAAGTGCAGATGTGCACCACCAATAGAAATTCATGCTGCCAGCTGTGAGCAGCAGTGGACGATCTGCCAATCAGCTAGGCGCCACCTGAATCTCCTGGGTGGCCTCCCAAGTGCTCAGCTTACAGGGAACACTGGTCATGACCCATTCTTACTCAGCAGCCTCTCCGGTTTCTTCATTCACGTCTTCTGGCAAGGGAGACTCAGGGAAACTCTTTCGCCTTGAAGGCAATACGGTTAAAACAGAGCGGGCTGGAATCCTCGTGCGTCATCAGCAAAAGTGTTCCTTCGTTTCCCCGACAGGGCCAGTCCGTTACGCCTGCGCAGAGCCATGGAAGGCAAAAGAGGTGATAAAGGCATCCCCGGGAGACCAGAGCCAGCTTGGGGAGTCTGGGGGATGCGTGACGTAGTGCAATAAGGAAGAGCCCATCTTGCCGCTCGGATCCCAGGCTGCGTTTGCAGCTCTTGTAGCCACAAATGGCTTGCTTTGTAACCTATGCACGGCAGCTGTGGAGCAGCCAAGAGTCCATGACAATGGAAACGCCTGATGGCATTTGTAGTGTGGCTTTACAGAGCAGCTTTCGAGGGCTTGAGTCTCCTGGGTGAGTCTTCTGCCCTGGGGAGAATTCCATCCAGCGAAATGCATTTGTTCACTAACCACGAGAGCCTAGATTGGGAAGACACGTGTCACGGCTGATTCGCTAGAGCCTCGGGACCAGTCGGCTGTTTCCACGCACGGAAACAGGGAGAAAAAAGCTGTTGCGGCCCTTGTCTCCAAGGGGCTGGATACTCGGTACTGCTGGAATCCGGCGCTTCACCCAGGGCGCCTCTAAAGCCAGAGTAGTACGCAGGACCCTTCTAGCTCGTTGGCTTGGGAGAAACCTAACGTGATGGGCTTTTGTTATGAATTGGGAATGGTTAACAGGTTTCCTTTATCCCAAGCAGACCGAATAAACGTCTCTGTATTTTATTTTTGTTTTATTCCAGCAGATAACGGAATCATGTTCAAAACTGAGCTGCTGAGGCACGGGGATCCTCTCAAGAACTGGCAGCTGCAAAGGACGTTCTGTGGCATATCTGAAGGCCATGTGCTCCAGACTCCGGGCGAGGGAACGCCTTTGGATAGTCCATACAGCTCAGCAATGCAGCCAAGGAGCCATGGAAAGGACAGGCCAGTGGAGGCGGCTCCCCGGGGAGAACAGCACTGTACCTCTTTCCCGGCGAACCTGCCCAGGTGAGAGGCCATACGTGTGTGCAGAGTGTGGGAAGAGCTTCAGGCTGAGAAAGAGCCTCACCATGCACCAGAGGAGTCACCCCAAGCTGGGATGCTATGAACCTACCGAGCGTGAGAAAAGCTTCGTGGTCGAGCAGCGCTTGACGATGCACCAAAGCATCCACCCTGGCGGGGGTGCCTACGGCTCCGTGGAGTGTGAGGAAAGCTTCAGACAACATCACAGCCTGAAATCCCACCCCCGAAGCCAGCCCGCAGACAAGCCTTACGGTGCCCCGAAAAGCATGAAAAGCCTCAACCTCCAGTCACCTTACAGGCAGCACCCGAAAAGCCACGTGCGAGAGAGACCTTGTAAGTGTAACAAGTGCCAGGAGTGCTTCTCCCAGAAGAAAAGCCTCCTCACGCACCAGAGAATGCACACGGGCCGGGGCAGAGGGACCTTAATGTGCACGTACTGCGGGAAGAACTTCAGCCACCCCTCCGACCTGATTAGACACCAAAGGATCCACACGGGTGAGAGACCCTACCAATGTGCCGAGTGCACAAAAAGCTTTACGCAAAAGCAGCATCTGCTCCAACACCAAAAAATCCACACCCGCGAGAGGAACCGCGTGAACGTGCAGAACATGAGAGAGGCGCTGCTGGACAGCATCTTCTTCTAGCTCGCCCAGGGCTCACCCTGCTCACTCTGCTGGCTCTCTGCGCTAATTGCGACAGATGCTCAAAAGAAACCCTTGGACGCACACGGTGGAGTGTGCCACATCAACATCATGCCCGAGTGGGGGTGGGGTGGGGTGATGCGGTATCTCACAGCTAACTCAAAAATACTTCTAATGAAAAATGCTCCAAGTTTTAAAAAAGTGAATCGAATTAGTTTATTGAAGCGATAACGAAATGTGTTTCTTGGGAGTTTCTGCTGTTCATCTGACATTGGCAATATGTGAGCAACACCTTGACGCTATCCTGCAGCAGGTAGTTCCATAGGTTAGTGATGTGTTGTATTTGCTCCAAACAGTCTACGGGTTATTAAATGTATACATGCACTGGACACAAAATGCCACCCTGGCTGATGCTGTGCCGGTGCCAGGGAAACAGTTGCTGGGGTGGGGCAGGGACGAGGAAGTTTGCTCTGCAGCTGCTGAGTTTCCTAGAACTATGCATCCAACTCCTTCTCCAGCCCTGACACTCACTTCCCGGGAGCCATAACTGGAACAGTTGGGCCAAATTCTTTCCAAATGATGCTGTAAATCTGGGGGAACCTCACTGAAGTCTCCAGTGTAATTGTGCAGCAGCGACTGTGATCGGAATTTGGCCCAGGACTTCCTGCCC